CAGCGCTGGTTGAAGCAAATATTCTGCTGTTAGTCAATTATTAACTCAAATGGCCATTTATTAAATTATAACGAATTTCTTAATCGATTCAATATTCCCATCCCCCCTAAAGAATTTGCTGTGGTATTTGATGCTATACCATCTGGTGTTATTAGATTATTCCAAGGCATCCCCTATCCTTCTGTTTTACCTCTTTTAGACCCTTCTACTACAATGATTGGAAAATATTGTTTCTCTGCAACTTCTTCAAACAAAACAATACGTTTTTTATTTCTTAATGGAACTGTATCAGTTCCAAATGTTACTTTTTACTGGAATTCTTTTGTTTCGGATATTGATTGGAGAAAAATATGGCTCATCCCAAATAACTACTTAATTACAAATAAGATAAAAGAAGTTTCATTCAGAATTATTCACCGTACATACCCAGTCAATACTCTTTTAGTACGATATAAAAAAGATCTTAATATTAATTGTTCATTTTGTGGGCAGCACCCTGAGTCCCTGGTTCACTTATTTTGGCAATGCAATTACTCTAGGTTGCTTTGGAAAGACTTCTCACTTTTTATAATTGAGAATGTTGATGAGGAATTTTCCTTGCTGTGGGAGAATGTTTTATTTGGTTTTGTTGATTATGGAACGGGGGCTTTACATAAAAAGAAAACATATTTTCTTAATCTTCTTGTCTTATTAACAAAATTTTACATCCATAAATGTAAATTTTCAAACCAAAAACCTTTTTTTTATATTTTGCTTACTGAAATGCAGTATTACTTTGAAACAGTGTCTAACTCTTTTACAAAAAAGGCTTTAAAAACAACTGAAATTTGTAAATTATATAATCTTTTTCTTTAACTTGTAATGTATTTACCCCTCCTGTTTTTTTGTTGTTTGTTTGTTTATTTTTTTGTTATCTGTTGTTGTTTCTTTTTCCAAAATTGTTGCTCTTTTTGTCTCTTTGATTTCTTGTTAACATACTGTGATTATATATTCTCACTTTCGTATATTAATAAAAAAAAAAAAAAAAAAAAAAAAGAATAATCTTATTGTGTGTAAACTTGACTTTCAACAAGAGTTAGAACAATTCCTCAAACAATCTCTCTCTCATTATTCTGCTATTAAGCAGAACAGAAACATGTGATCATCCTACATCAACAGCTGACTTGTTTAAATGGTTATGTGCCTTTTTATACAGTGGATGTGCTTTTAACTGTATTAAGAGTTGTAAATGCTGTAATATACACAAGTATAATACACTTTAATAGTAAACATGGTTATGAAAACACCACAGTATTAGTATTTTATTATCAGTAATTTAAGTATATTTTCATGTAGGTTTTCACAAGTTTCTTATACATTAGACTATTTAATTATGCATTCCATGAAAGCATATAAAATCACAATAGTAAACAACCACAAAACCATGCTCTGTATTAATATTACTACATTAGTTCCAAACCTTTCCAATAAAGAAACAAACAAATGTTAGATTAAGCGAATAAGCAAGACTAATTTAAACAGCATCACTTTAAACATGTTTATAGGCTACTTTAATGGTTTAAAAAAACAAAGTTACAATACCTTGGTTCGACATGTTTTGCAGTCTCAGAACGGCTTTCTCTCTCTCTCTCTCTCACTCTGTGTGTGTGTGTTTGCGTGTGTGAGAGAGAGATAGAAGGGGAGTGAGATGGAGTGTGTGACACCTCTGTTTCTGCACCGTTATTTTGTGAAGGGCTGGACATCTTGACTTCAACAGAAACGAAACTGGCCACAGGCCTGAAGGATGACGCTCCAGTCAAGAATGCTCTACAAGAACAACACTGACACAGCCTAGTGGACTCCTGTTGATTGGTTGTGCAGAATTTCAGATCACACAAGACACATATAACATATAACGTAACATATAACTTATTATAAAATTATAACTCAATAAGCATGTTAATGAGGGTCTGTTTATAATTAAAGTGTTTACAACACAGCATCAACGCCACAGCCTACCTGAGTATTGCTGCTGACCATGTCCATCCCTTTATGAGCACAGTGTCTCCATCTTCTGATGGCTACTTCCAGCAGGATAACGCAGCATGTCATAAAGCTCAATCATCTCAGACTGGTTTCTTGAACATGACGATGAGTTCACTGTACTCAAATGGCCTCCACAGTCACCAGAGCTCAATCCAATAGAGCAGCTTTGGGATGTGGTGGAACGGGAGATTGGCATCATGGATGTGCAGCCGACAAATCTGCAGCAACTGTGTGATGTTTTCATGTCAATATGGAGCAAAATTGGATATGGACTTGTTGAACCTATGCCATGAAGGATTTAAGCACTGAAGGCAAAAAGGAGGTCCAACCCGGTACTAGTAAGGTGAGTGTATATTCCCCTAATGGTCAGATTATGCGATGTATAAATCAGTTGTTTAAGTTTGAGGTCCACATTTATACATGACAAACAAAAAGTTTTACCAATGAAGCCAAACAAGAAGCTGAAAACACAATCAGTGTAATTGATAATGAAATATGGAGGCTAATATACAGTTAAATTGCCTCATAATGTATTTTAAATAAGTATTTACATATGATTAGATAAACAATATAAATCTACTATTAAGACAGGAGAACTGTGTACAAAATCAAGCAAAAAAAAAAAAAAAAAAAAAATACGAAACTGATTTAACTTTTCAAAGTTTCAAACAGTTTTTATTTTTATTTTTACAGTGTTTATGCTCTTTATATATCTGTAAATATGACAGTATTTTATAAGGATATGGCTAAATATAATATTGCATGAAGCTCTTGGGCTTTGAACACATTATATTTCTGCTCAATAAACATAAATCTGCACATAATGTTGATCAATTTGAAGAGTGAAATGATTTTGTTGTTCTGGAGGATTTAAAGAAAATCCACTGGTTAAAGCACATTGAGTGTTTAGTCTGTCATTTTGCTCTTTATTTGATTATTTGTTCTTCAGATCAAATAATCACAGTGTTTTGATTTGTGTGTTTGGTTTGGTTTATGACTCACTTTATGAGAGAAAATAATAGTACTTTGGACTCAACATTGATAATAAAGTGCTCTTTACAGTCTATAATAAAGTCTGGACTCCTCTGGCCTTTCAATAATTAATTAATCACTAAATTCAATTTTACAACTTTGCAAATATATCTTTCATTGCAAACTTATTCCCAAAAATAATTCTCTTTTCTTCAGATCCCAGTTGGTAAAATATGAACAAAACCCATCTTCCACCCTCGGAGGGGAACGAAGCGCATAATAAAATGCACCTCCAAAACACAGCAAAACAGGAAGCATCAGCAGCATCATGTTAATATCTGAAAGTTTCATTCTGTCCTTTAACTGCCAAATTTTTCTTTTGAGCTTTATTTTGCTGCTCTTCAGCTTCTCCAGAAATGCTTTAATCAGCTCAATGTTTGCCGAGTTCTCCTGCTCCTTCATCTCCGCCTGATGAACCCTGCGCTTAAAGCGTCTCATTTCTCTCTCGGTTTCTTGACACTTTTCATTCAGCTTCTTGATTTCTTTCTTCAGCTTCCTCACTTGTTTAACCATCTCAGCGTCTCCTCTCTCCTCTCTCTGCATTATCTGTGTAACCTCACTGCTGAAGTGACGGTTTTCATTCTGGATCATCAGTTCATCCACTTTCTGAAGGAGTCGTGTCACTTGTTCTCGGTTTTCAGAGTTTTTGTTGTTGAAAGCCACGAAACGGCTTCCGAATCTCTCCACGAGCTCCTGTATCTTTCCGTTTTGTCTTGAAATGAACTCTTGAATGGATCCTCCATTAAGTCTGTCAGCGTGTGTGAATATGAGGATGGTGTATCGGCTGATGTCTTCATTAAACATCTCCAGAATCATTTCTGCAATGCGTTCTTGTTCATCGGTGTATCTCTCTATCGGTATAACCAGAAGAAACGCATGAGGACCAGGAGAACTCAAAGATAGGCACTGTTGTATTTTCTCAATGGTTTTATCCGTTTCTGTAAAATCCGGTGTGTCCACCAGCAGCAGGTTTCGTCCTTCAGTGCTTGTGTTTTCTCTCTGACACTCTTTAGTGACTGAACTCATGCTCAGATCATCATTGAAGCGTTTCTCTCCCAGGATTGTGTTCCCGGTTGCGCTTTTCCCTGCGCCGGTTTTTCCCAGCAGAACCAGACGCAGAACATTCTGTGAACAAGCACCTTCATTACCCTCATTATTGTCAGTTCTCTCAGCTGAGATCCTGTTTGACCGCCGGCGACTATTTCCTCCTGAGAAAAATAAAGTCAATCAGCAATCATTATTTAGTTCACCACACATGAATAAACACTATAGTAATATGTAGTAGATACTGTAGTGTTCATGACCATAAAAGTAAAGTGCATACTATATAGTAAATATCACAACTGTTTCTTAACAAAGGCTTCAGCATCTTGTAGTATTACCTTTAGTGAATTGATAAACTGTAATAAATACTGTACTTTACTTTCGCTTTACTACAGTAAACTGTGGTGTACTGTTGTTTCATATACCCTATTTAGAGAACATTACAGTATTGATCATTAGTTTACATTACTGTAACTGCTGTTACCATATTCACTATAGAATCACCACAGCAGATTAATTCCAGTGCTTTACTATATTATGATTCATAAACACTACAGTCAGGCCGAATGTAGTTCTTATAACAATAACAGCACAGATTTACCCTCAAACACAGGTGCACTTTATCAAGGCTTTATCCCAAACAAACATATTAAAGCATATAGACCAATGACCATGTTTGTAAACATTCAGGATGCGCGCGCAGGGAGGTGGCAGAAAGCAACCGGGAGCCCTAGCATTTACAGCGAGGGAATGACATCAGATGCGGTGCAGAGTTTGTTGTTGTCTTAGAAGTAAGATATATTACTTACATATTATATATATTATTTACATAATGCTTACAGCATGTTATAACAGCTCGTCGCCCAGTGACAAGCACAGTGATTCAGCAAAATTAATGTTAAAGTGAGCGGCGTTCATCTGACAGCTCCATTTGCGATAGCACCCACCCAATGAATATTGGATAAGACGAAGTGACCGAGCATCCAGCCCCAAATATACAATCTCAATTGAAGCTCCGAGTGATTTTACAAGAGAGAAGTTAAAGCTCTACAAGTCTTTGGATGCCAACAATGTTGTTCTTTGAGGTCATGTGCAATAAATATTGCTCCATGATGACCAGATTCAAGAGCTAAACACCGAGATTCCACCTAGCCAAAGACAAGGAAACAAGACGGAGCTAACGTTATACAAGGCCTGGGTAATTAATCACCAACACACAAAACGACTGCATTCTGACAGTGAACTTCACCTATACGGCAGGGTATGTGAACCTACACATAAAGGTAAAGTTGGTTTTATATTCGCACATTCAGACTTTCTCCTTAATAATATAATTTCATAAAAATATTATTTGCACACTCTAAATAGAAAAATCATATTAGCAGCAGCCAATGACTATCAAAGTACATATGTTCACAGTCAAATAAACAGTGCTAATGTTGTTTTCAAGTCACACTTGCAGGTTATTTCAGACCGAATATTCAAAGTGTCGTGGTAAACAATATAGGGAGTTTGTCACAAGTTGTCACTGAATGAATGTGTGAATATAAAACTAAGTTTACCTTAATAAACGTACCTTTCACGTTTCATTCTTAGCATTCAGTGTCAGCAGTTTAATTCACCATATGTAACTGTTTTTGCTGAAATCATTTCTGCAATCAAAAACGAGTGATGAGTCTGATCCAGCATAGCGTGAACTGACCTGATATAACATGACAACTGCAGAGTCCAGCATTTCCAATTAGTTCCACACTTCATTTAGCTCCCATTTAGCCAAAGACGTCTGCAGTCGGTATTAAAGCAGTGTGTGGTGTATGGTAAAAGTTAAGTTTTCTAATTTTGGACTCGAATTCGGCATCCTACCGCAAAACATGACATCTTTCCCATTGCAGCCTGTCTGTTTTTTGCAACCGGGGACTTGTGTGACGTCATGTGTGACGTAGGTTGGTAATTGGTATATAAAACATATAATTTGTCAATGAATACAAAAATAATATAAAAATAATGTGAATAATGTGATGAGTCTACCTTCGTTGCTCATGTTTCCTCGGTCTGTCAGGTGTGTTTGTACTGTAACCTGTTTGTGGACTGGTTTATGATGGGCTGGACCTACTGAACACAATAAAATCACTGTTGTCCAGATACACGGCTGAACTCAACCCAGGAAAACAATACAAATAAAAAACAAACAGAATCTGGGAAAGTAAACAAAATGATTATGAACAATTAGTAGTGTAAAGTAAATGACAAATACTCAAATTAACTGAGTAGTTATTTCAGGAATTGTACTTTACTAAGTAGTTTTATAAATGTGTACTTTTACTTTCACTTTAGTACGTTTACTGCAGTATCAGTACTTTTACTCCACTATTAACCTTCAACCTGCAGTCACGGCTGTATTTTTTCTTGTCTATGAAGATTAGAGAAATCAGTCTTGTGATTCTTGTCCAATTAAATCGCACACAGAAGGTAAATCACATCATAATAAACTTCCTCAAGACTTGAAGGATTTATAATTGCAGCAAACTGTTTAAAAAGCATTTTAAGTGTCCAAAAAGAAGTCCAAAATCTTCACACACATTGACCCAGAGACTGTTTAGATGCAGGTCACTGATGAGAAGATGACGGCTGTTTACTGCATGATGACAAAAATGGCCCTAAACATCCAGCAGGCACAAGATGTCGACATGATGTCAGATTGACGTTGTACCCAACATTGTGGGGATGTTGCATTTTGTTTGGAAATAAAAATCAGGTTTATGACAGAACTCAGCGCTCCGGCCGACGTCAATGTCCAATGTCCAACCTACACTCTCAGAAATAAAGGTATCAATCTGTTAATGGGGTGCTACCATTTTGAAAGGTACAAATTTGTACCTAAAAGGTCCATATTAATACCTCAAGGGTACATATTACTACCTAAAAAGAACAAAAGTGCTCCTCCTAAAATTTTTAGCTACTAATATATACTTTTGAGGTACCAATATTGACCCTTTATGAACAAATGTGTACCTTTTGAAAAGGTACACCCCCCCCCCCAGTGACAGCTCATGTACCTTTATTTCTGAGTGTATAAGCAACCAAATATCAACGTCTAATGATGTTACAGCTTGACGTTGTGTATATGTCACCACTAAGACATCTATCAGATGTTGAAATTTAGTTGCCATACCTGACGAATAAATGTCAGTATTTGACGTCAATATGACGTTGGTTTGGGGGCGTCACGTGGTGCAGCGAGTAGCACGATCGCTCACAACAAAAAGGTTGTTGATTCGAGCCCCGGTTTGATGCCCTGTGGTATTTTAATGTATTTCGAAAGTTATTACTATAAATCTGTCTGCTATTTCTGTGGTGATTTGCATTGGTTTACATTGTGCGTTCCTGAGCGTGCATGAAGTTGGCGTAGAACAACGCACATTCTCACATTCATTGAATCGTTAGTAAATCCAAACATGAGTGATTCTGAGCGTGAAATCTGGCGTAGGCAAAGTTTTTGTGTGTACACAGCGTTGATACGTGAGGCCCCAGGACTCTTCCTAGAGCTGGCCGGCCATCTAAGCTGAGTGATCGGGGAAGAAGGGCCTTGGTCAGGGAGGTGATCAATAGCCTGATGATCACTGTGTCTAAGCTCCAGCGTTCTTCTGTGAAGAGAGGAGAACCTTACAGAAGGACAACCATCTGTGCAGCAATCCACCAATCAAGCGTCTGTATGGTAGAGTGGCCAGACGGAAGACACTTCCCACCTGGAGTTTGCCATCTGCAGGACTCTCAGAGCATCAGAAACTAAACTCTCTGCTCTGATGAGACTCAAACTGAACTGTTTGGAGTGAACGCCAGGCGTTACGTGTGGAGAACAGCAGGCGGCGCTCATCAGCAGGCTAACAGCATCCCTACAGTGCAGCATGGTGGTGTTGGCATCATGCTGTGGGGATGTGTTTCAGCAGCAGGAACTGGAAGACTAGTCAGGATAGAGGGAAAGATGAATGCAGCGATGTACAGAGACATCCTGAATGAAGACCTGCACAAGAGTGCTCTCCACCTCAGACTGGGGCGACGCTTCATCTTCCGACAGGACAATGACCCAAAACACACCGCCAACATATCAATGAAGTGCCACAGAAACAACTCGCTGAGTGGCCCAGCCAGAGCCCAGACCTAAATCCTATTGAACATCTCTGGAGAGATCTGAGAATGGCTGCACACCGTCGCTTCCCATCCAACCTGATAGAGCTTGAGAGGTGCTGCAAAGAGGAACGGGCAAACATTCCCAAAGACAAAGACAAATTTCTTTCATTCAGGGAATTCATTCGTGTCCCTTGCGACAAATGAGATATTTGATTCGAGGAGCTGCTCTAAGCGTGTATTTTTCATGCAATGTTTGATACCGCACAGCGAATGAGAGAAAAAAAACCTCTGCATTTTCCGGAAACTTAGATGCACACAGCAGGTAGCGTCAGAAAGCTGCGTGTGTTGTTCCGGTCACTAAATGTGGTGAAAATCCTACACGAGGTTAAAGTTTGGTTGTGGTGCTAACATGTTTACACTCGGTGCAATAGTTCGTTACGAACAAACTGAATAAACAAAGAGCACTGGTCACACACTTACCAAATCTGTAGAGACAGAACAATCACCAGCAACTAGAGCCGCGTCTTTATTAAGAGGAGACTACAAGCGAATCCGGATCTCAGCGTTTGCAGATGAGAACAGCTCTCAGGTAAACAATAATCCTCCTTAGACACGTAAGTTATTGTTGTCGAGCGTCGCGTACACTGTTAATCCACACGTTACTCCAGCTGAGCTCTCACAGAGAAAATGAAAACAAAACTTCACTGCAGCAAACTATAAAAGCAACACTTCACGCTTGTTTTGCCAACACAACGTGGCGTCTCTGCCGTCTAAACACTGTGACAGTAATGAATATTAATGAAGTTGCACAATAGAGCGCGCTGATTGGTTTGAACCAAGCCTTACTCATGCATTAATGCATCACACTGTAAGACGTAATAAGACTCACTCTGGCACAGACGTCCAGTCTGCACGCTGGAATACACGCTATTATGTCATGACCGTGACGCAGCTTCAAAAATTTGTTTCAAACCGGAAGTACGAATTTGCTTGAAATAACGCAAAAACAACTAATTAACACTTTTTAGTGAAATATAGGTGTCCTAATAGTGTTTTTAGCAGTGTGGGACACATATACGACTGTCAACAGCTCAACACATGTGTTCTGGTGTTTCGTGACCCTTTAAGAACCACTATACATTGTTTAAATCTGTTTCAGTACTCCAAAATCAGTTTTATATATTGTTTACTTTCATAGATATGTATATACTTACATTTTATAATTATACTTCAGTCACTTCTGTGTATATATGTGTATTTATGTGTATGTCGTGTATGATGTGTATGTTCTGTGTATGACTTTACTGTGGACGGCAAAGTAAGAATCTCATTGTACAAGGAAACGTGTTCCCTTACTGTGCACATGACAATAAACAATTGAATTGATTTATCAGCTTTTTATTTTTTACAAATTTACAACAATTTCAAAAACTCTTTTTCACATGGTCATTGTGGGGGATTGTGTGTAGAATGTTGAGGAAATCAATAAGTTTAGTCCATTTTGGAATAAGGCTGTAGCATAAAATCATATGAATAAAGTGAAGCGCTATCAATACCGGATGCACTGTATGCCTATTACATATCCATAATACACTAGTTCAATAGTTCGTTGGATCATAATGCTTTCTCTCAACAAACAAACCGCTCCAGAATTTGTTTCAACCAAGCCCAGACCTCTTTCAGGCAATCTCAGACCTATTGTTTTGGCGCGGATCAGAGCATGATTGCAGTGTTTACATACTGTAAGCCCAAACTAACTGAGCTGATGGGCAAACGTGTCAAGTTCCCTAGCAAACATTGAGGTGTGAAAGCATCCTTATTTTTGGCTTCAATCAAAAAATGAAAAAGACCTAGGTTTGAAGTATACCAGAGCCTTAATACACACAGTTCCTACCACCACTGCCAAGAACTTTCCTGAGAATCCAACCTATATTGCTGAGAAAAGAGTGCTGAAGATGCAAATCCTACTGCTAATCCAACAAAGAAGCCAACCAGGATCCAAAGGATTGTGTTATAGTGTTCTGAATGAAGTTGTTTGTCCTGGCCTGCTTTACCCAGCCTCCTCTGTTCCTCCTCATTAATCCAAATGGCCTTATTCTTCTTTTCCTTCTCATATCTTTCCAATCTCTCTTCCTCTTCCTTTCTATCCCGATCATTCAGTTTTCTAATATTCTCCAACTCAGCTTTGAGAGACGATCGGAATCGCTTGAGCCTCGCCGGTATCGGTTTAGCATTCCGCTCTTCCTTCTTTATATCCATCTCAATCTCTGCAAACCGCCCATTAATGATTGTCCTTTTTTTCTCAATTTCTTGTTTCTCCTCCTTCAAGGATGTTGTAAACGCAGACCAGCGAGCTTCAGCCATTTTTCTCACCTCTTTTTTGACTTTCTTCTTCCTTTCAGCAACATCGGCTTCTCTTTTCTCCTTCATTATCCTCTTGGTTTCCTGTACAACATCTGAAATTGAACTGCTGAAGTGACGGTTTTCATTCTGGATCATCAGTTCATCCACTTTCTGAAGGAGTCGTGTCACTTGTTCTCGGTTTTCAGTGTTTTTGTTGTTGAAGGCCACGAAACGGCTTCCGAATTTCTCCACGAGCTCCTGTATCTTCTGCTCTTGATTCATTATGAACTTTTGAATGGATCCTCCATTAAGTCTGTCAGCGTGTGTGAATATGAGGATGGTGTATCGGCTGATGTCTTCATGAAACATCTCCAGAATCATTTCTGCAATGCGTTCTTGTTCATCGGTGTATCTCTCTATCGGTATAACCAGAAGAAACGCATGAGGACCAGGAGAACTCAGAGATAGGCACTGTTGTATTTTCTCAATTGTTTTATCTGTTTCTGTAAAATCAGGTGTGTCCACCAGCAGCAGGTTTCGTCCTTCAGTGCTTGTGTTTTCTCTCTGACACTCTTTAGTGACTGAACTCATGCTCAGATCATCATTGAAGCGTTTCTCTCCCAGGATTGTGTTCCCGGTTGCGCTTTTCCCTGCGCCGGTTTTTCCCAGCAGAACCAGACGCAGATCATTCTGTGAACAAGCACCTTCATTACCCTCATTATTGTCAGTTCTCTTAGCTGAGATCCTGTTTGACCGCCGGCGACTATTTCCTCCTGAGAAAAATAAAGTCAATCAGCAATCATTATTTAGTTCACCACACATGAATAAACACTATAGTAATATGTAGTAGATACTGTAGTGTTCATAAATCACTCTAGTAAAGTGTGTACTATATATTATAGTATGTACTACAACACTTTGTTAATGAGTGCTCCAGCATACTGTAGAATTAACTATAGTGAACTGATAAACTGTAATAAATACTGTAGTATACATTAGCTTTACTACAGTAAACTGTGGTGTATTTTAATATACCCTATCTTTGTAGAACACTGCAAAGCAGGGGTTCTCAATCTTGGTCCTGGAGGTCCTGCAGATTTGAGCTCCAACCCCAATCAGACACACCTGGACTAAACCAGCTCTAGAAACATTCTGGCAGGTGTGTTGAGGCAAGTTGGAGCTCAAATCTGCAGGACACCGGACCTCCAGGATTGAGTTTGAGAACCCCTGCTATACAGTACAGACCGTTTGTTTACATTGCTGTAGCTGCTGTTACCATAGCAACTGTAGAATCACCACAGCAGATTAATTCCAGTGCTTTACTATATACAAACACTACAGTCAAGCAGTGTGTGGTTCATATATATAAGAATAACAGCACAGATTTACCCTCAAACACACTTCATCCAGAATTTATCGAAATAAACATATTAAAGCATATAAAATATATAAAACATATAATTTGTCAATGAATACAAAAATAATATAAAAGTAATGTGAATAATGTGATGAGCCTACCTTCGTTGCTCATGTTTCCTCGGTCTGTCAGGTGTGTTTGTACTGTAACCTGTTTGTGGACTGGTTTATGATGGGCTGGACTTACTGAACACAATAAAATCCCTGTTGTCCAGATACACGGCTGAACTCAACCCAGGAAAAACCTGAATATCAATATTATTCAAACAAGACTATTATTAGCCGTACTGACTCCGCCATCTGAAGCCAAACTCGAATGAACTGCTGTAAATGTGGAAACACCTGATTATCTTCATTAAATCATGTGCTTCTGCAGAAGAAAGATCTCATGTTACACACGAGTTAAACTGTCAGAAAGAGTCACTAGTAAAGAATTGAAAGCAGGAAAGGCGGTATAAAAGGAAGGAAGTCAGTGGTGAAACATTATAAATGTTGCCAGATTGGGTGGTTTTGATGTGATCAGGTTGTGTCGTCATTTTGCTGTTGTGGTTGCTTTTGCTTCTGTTTGGTGTCGGTCGCTAACATGGTCACTGCTTGTATTGTATGTACTGTAGCAGTCAGTTGTCGAAAGTCAAATTCTGACTGAAGTAAATGTAAATTATTAATCAACTATGTTGGCGGGTTTTGGACAGTTTTTGGGTGTGAAACTTTCAACTATATCTGGCAACACTGTTTAATATCCAAACTGACAAGGCAAGAACTAAAAGCAAGCAGCACACCAACAATACCTGCACATAAACAAGATTATTGTGCTTGTTTTAAGGAAAAACTCCCTTGATATTGATTTATTAGTTCAGAACATATTTTCAGAATATGTTTTTGCTTGTCTAAAAAATGCTTTATGTTTTTTTTTATATTTTAACTAGAAACAAGACAATGCTCCAAGTAAGGAAAGCATTTTTTTGCAGTTTACTAAATTAAATATATGACTTAAATATATGACTTTTTTCCCCAAATGCACCCACTAGAGGGACACAGCGATGCAGTTTTCAGGAGTAAACTGACAGGATGGAACATATTACTTGGATTAATAATTAACCACTTGAAAATAGCACTATAGTAATTCATAGTAATGACTGTATTAATATTGAACCATACTATAGTAAAGCAATTTAATTAATCTGTTGCGGTGATGATTCTACAGTTGCTATGGTAACAACTACAGTAATTGATCCATTGTGGTGATTCTACAGTTGCTATGGTAACACAACAACGACAGTAATTGATCTGTTGTGGTGATTCTATAGTTGCTATGGTAAAACAACTACAGTAATTGATCTGCTGTGGTGATTCTATAGTTGCTATGGTAACACAACAACTATAGTAGTTGATCAGTTGAGGTGATTGTTTACTTGCTATGGTAACACAACAACTACAGTAATTGATCTGCTGTGTTGATTCTACAGTTGCTATGGTAATACAACTTTAGAAAATGTATCTATTATGGTGAATTCTATAGTTGCTATGGTAACACAACAACTGCAGTAATTGATGTGTTGTGGTGATTCTATAGTTGCTATGGTAAAACAACTGCAGTAATTGATGTGTTGTGGTGATTCTATAGTTGCTATGGTAAAACAACTACAGTAATTGATCTGCTGTGTTGATTCTACAGTTGCTATGGTAATACAACTTTAGAAAATGTATCTGTTATGGTGATTCTACAGTTGCTATGGTAACACAACAACTGCAGTAATTGATCTGTTGTGGTGATTCTATAGTTGCTATGTTAACAACAACTACAGTAATTAATCTGTTGTGAGGATTCTACAGTTCCTATGGTAACAACTGATTTTTTTGTGGTGATTGTACTGTTGCTATGGTAACACAACAACTACAGTAATTAATTTGTTGTGATTCTAAAGTTGCTACGTTAACAAAAACTGTATCAATTACTCTTTTGTTGTGATTCTACAGTTGCTAAGTTGCTATAGTAACACAATTACTATAACAAACAAATAGGGTATATTAAACTACAATACACCAGCTTACTGTAGTAAAAACTAAAGTACACTACAGTATTAATTACAGTTTATCAGTTCACTATAGTTAGTATGCTGGAGAATTCATTAACAAAGAGCTTTAAATACTGCAATATATACAGTATAACAAATTTGGTATAGTATGCTTTAAAAAACACTTTAATATTTACTATAAATTACTGTAGTATTTTGTTTCACTGTGCAAAATTTGCTGCTTTATGCATTTAATAGCATATACCTTAACTGCACAGATACAATAAGAACAAAACTAATAATAAACTCACTTTAAATGTTAAAACCATCATCATTATCAAACTGTAAATAATAAGGATTAGGGTTGAATTAGCATGAAGCAAACTACAGTAACACACTGTGAAACCATAAGGACAGTTGGTAAAACAATATGTTTTATTGCATTTAAGCAGGAGATCATAGAAACAACCACTGTAAGTCCCACAGAGCCTGAAGTGCAATCTCCAAATTCAGGTATAAAAGATAAAATAAATACAATGACAAAGTGGGGAAAGTGCTGGAATAAAACCGCAATTCAGATCTTAAAATGACACACAAAATACCAGACAAACTCCAACATTTAGTGCAAATTTAAATCAGCATCCACCCTCATTCAACATAAATACGTGACATAAATACAGTATTCAAGCGTCTAATAACTTAATTGATTTCAGTAACAGTTCTGCAATATTTTTAACTCTTCACAAGAATAAAATCTCCCAATATTTAAATAATCTGTGTGTTTACCTCATGCTGGTTTCACTTGTTTTTAAATATATGACTTTAAAGACGTCTGGACTTCATAAATACACATTAAATCAGTGACAAGCAGCAGTGCATTCCTTTGGCCTCTCTATTAAAGAGACGATTCACCCAAAAAGTACAATCATCCCATGATTTACTCACCCTCAACGAATCTGTCATCTTCTTTAAGTCAAATACAATGTTAAATCATTACAATTATACATATATTCGGATTATCCAGCTCTACAATGGCAGCAGGTGGGTTACTTTAATCAGCACTCCAAAACAAGTGCCATAAAGCAGATCTCTTCATAATATAAACCACCCAGCACAGCTCCAGTGGCTGAATAAAGCTCTCCTTTAGTAAATCCATGCACTTTTGCAATAATAATATTCATATTTAACACTTTATAAACCGTTTTGTTCCTGCAAGCTCCATGCATCAGTTAGTTTTTGAGGTGCATTAGCGCCACAAGCTGGACTGGAGTGTGTTTTGAAATATCTCCTTTCTCTGTGCTTCTGCATTTGTTGGAGCTTTTAAAAACAAATATAATGCACCTGCAAATGAGGGGTTGTGGTTGTGGTAAGTGCTTAATAAAGCTTTAAATATTAATATTAATTGATAACACACAAATCCACTAAAGAAGAGCTTTATTTAGCCACGTGAAGCTCTTTTTATTGTTTTTTTTAAATGTAATAAATTAATTTAGTTTTCCATTCAAATAGGCAAAGTGGCCTGAATGAATCTACCAATGAAGGTTGGCTATGGGGGTGTGGTTGGGAGCCATGCCTACTTTTTTTATATTGTACATTTTCATACTGCTGAACTTGAATTATTCACTAAACCGACCAAACGTGAAATAGTTACGTTTCCTTGTGAGAACAGCTCAGCGTGGTATAGCAGGGTATAGATGAGGTGTTTCCCTCTGACATGGCTGTCGCACTGACGCCGATTCAGGCTTCTGGATTGGATGAAATTAACAGTTTGCAATTGCGCCATCTGGTGGACAGTACTGGAACAGCAGCGTATTTTATTTAAAAATTGCATCTTGTTTTTATACTTTACAGAATCATCTTGCGGGCCGGATAAACCCCATTTGTTTGGGCCGTATGTTTGACACCCCTGGTCTATACACACGCAGCTTTCTGACGCTACCTACTGAGTGCATCAAAGTTACTGAGGAATTCAGAGGGGTTTTTTCTCCTATTCGCCGTGCGGTATCAAACACTCCATTGAAACTACACTCTCCAGCAGTTCCTGCATCCAGTATCTGGTTTGTCATGGGGGCATGCAGGAAATGCTCCTGAAATGCCAAACTGCAGTTAAAGTCCACAAATTAATAATTAGATTACTGATGTCCATGTAAACACAGTCGCTGTCTTTCTCCCTGCGTCTGTGTTTGTTTTGCTCCTGTGTAAATCAGCAATTGCCCAAACGGAAACTCCCATTTTTATGCAAACCCTTCCCTCTTTCCCTCCCCTGACACTCCTACCTAAACCGAGCTGGACACACCCACTTTCCTGACTTTTCTTTTTTTCAAACTAAACTGAGACGGGGGGGTTTTATAGCCCTTTAAAGGTGAGCAAATCATGGGATTATCACCATTTTTGCATGAACCAACCCTTTAAAACTTCTATTTTAAGACATTTTAACAGGAGCTGGGTCTCTACATGCTCCGTCTGTGGACTGTAAACTTCATAAAGCCAATCTGACAGGTCCTGAAGTGAGTGTGTGTGTGTGTTATGAGCAGTGTGTGGGTGTGTTAGGGATGCGAGAGACGACGGTGGACACCAGTTTCTCCATCTGCTTGGCCCTCAGCGCTCCCGTCTCCAGAACCTCCTCATGATTGGCCTTCTTCTCGCTCTGGTAATCCATCACTGCCTTGTTGGTGATCAGAGACAGAGCCAGAACACGCATGTCACAGTGACGCGCCACGATCACCTCATGAACAGTGCTCATGCCTGCACACACACACACACACACACTGTAATGATGCTTGCACTGTACAGACTGTATATTCCCTCCTCGCCCCAGATTTATGATGTCTGATTTGAGCCGTTTTGATACATGGACACCGAAAATATACACAATACACATGTTAAAGTTTACTGGTATTTCTATACTTGTGAGGACATTTGGTCCCCGTAATGTAAGGAATACAAGGTAAACACACATACACACTCTTTCTCTCACACACACTCTCACATTCACACACAGATTCTGTCACATTCACACACACTCTCACTCAGTAACTGACCCACGGCGTCGGCTCCGAGCTGGCGCAGAGCTCTGCACTCAGCGATGGTCTCGAAGGACGGGCCGCCCAGCACACTGTACACCCCATCCCGCATGAAGACTGAGAAATCCAGCTCATCTGCCACGGCTCGCACCAGCTGCTGCAGATCCCGGTCATACGCATCCGACATACACGGAAACCTCACGCCGAACCTAACCAGGAGAAATGCTAGTTAAAACCTGCACACACGAATTCCAGACCAGTTCAAACGCTGAGTCTGACCTGTCGTCATTGGCTCCCACTAGCGGGTTGTGTCCGGCGAATCCTGGAATATTGATATGATCTTTAATGATCATGATGTCGCCCACTTTAAAGTCCTGGTTGAGTCCTCCAGCAGCGTTGGTCAGAATGACGGTCTCTACACCCATCAGCTTGAACACCCGGATGGGCATGGTGGTCTACAGCAACACCGGGAAAATCCCAACATCACTTCATCATGTGTTCAACCCGTGTATTGTTCAAATTGACTCCACTTTGGTGATGTTGGTGCAGTTTTTGCTCCATTGACTTCCATTATAATCACATTTATTGATTGTGTTTAAAATAAAACACGCCAGAACAGACATGTCTACATATTATTAAGTGTGTTTGTCTGTTTGAACACACACCCAAATTCCGAAGTCTCCACTTTCACTCCTCTTCAAATCGCATGCACTGAAGCTGATCTAAGAACAGTGTCTTAATGCGGAGTGCATTCGTCATACAGCTCTGATACATGGACTGACTGATTCAGAGGTTGCATACGAAGGGTGATGGTCGACGTATAGCTTTAATGGAAATGAGTAAGGTCTTTTTATAGTCATTTCAACATGCTTTCAAGCCAAAATAAAGTGAAAAAACAATTCTCTTGAACAGCTCTTGCAGTCATATCAACTTTGAGATCAGCTCTGTGTTGATGGTATTTTCACTTTTCATATAAAGATTAAAAATACGGAAGAAATATGGAAAAATGCTTAAATGGGATGATAGAATGGTGAAATACTGGAGAATCCATGCAAAAACAGGAGGGTTGACAGTTATGACACACATGCACGCACGCACACACACTATAAAATACAGAAACTAAGCTTTTTTGCACTGTAACTGAAGATCAACAGTAAAAATGGCAAATTGTCCCTCTTCCAAACAGGTAAAACCAGCACCAATGAAAAATGCATGATTATCTGCTGTCATGGCTTTACAATCAATAAATGTGATTATAATGAAAGTCAATAGAGCAAAAACAGCACCAACATCACCAAAGAGGAGTCGATTTTCACACAGTGTATTTCCCAACTATTTTCCCAAAATATGTGTCAAAATAAGATTTGTCAGTAAAAAAAATATCAGTGGATAAAAACAACCCAACAGCACTTTTAGCATTATGAGGTTATTTTGGTCTGGTTTTAATAGAGCTGAATGAGGGCTGATTCTGTGTGTCTGTGTGCATTTCACAGGTGCAAAGTGTGTGCTGTATTAATAAATACACAGTAAAAGTGCCAGCGGTATCTACACTGAGCAAACAGGGGAAGCGGATGCCTGTTTTATTAGCAGGCCTTGAGGAAGTGCAGCTTCTGTTTAAAGAGCAGCATTCTTTATAGATGTTACATTGTTTCAGAATCATCAGAGATCAAACAAAATGTAGCGAGTTTGGAACATTCCGAATCCTTTTTAGAGCTTAGTTTGACCGTTTGAAAAGCATTCATTCATTCACTTTCCTTCTGCTTAGTTCCATGTTTATCAGGGGTCACCACAGCAGAATGAATTCCCAATCATTCTAGCATATGTTTTACACAGCGGATGCCCTTCCCAGTACTGGGAAACACCCATACACACTCATTCCCACACAAACACTCATACACTACGGCCAATTTAGTTGATCAGTTCCCCTATAGCGCATGTGTTTGGACTGTGGGGGAAACCGGATCACCCGGAGGAGACTCACGTCAACACGGAGAGAACATGCAAACTCCACACAGAAACACCAACTCAGTGATTTAACAGTGTGTAAAATATTTGCTCAGAGATTTCTGGTGTCAAATAACATTCTCAAATGGAATAATGCACAATGTATGGACATTTTTTTCTACAATTTCTTAACTTTTTTTAATGCTTTAACTTATTTTTTCAGAAGGTTTAGAGATCCTTCAATAATGACATTGTCATATTCTTAATGTTTTCATGTTTAGATAACCCCAAATAAAATATTTAAGCCGTTTAGAAAAAAACTAAATGTTTGATTTATTATTCTGGAACAATATTTTCAGATTGTTTCAAATGAGCTTCACAAGAATACACTTAAATTAAATATTCAAAACATAAACACATTGCTAGAGAGGTTTTTGTTTTACATATTTGTATTATTTACATTTTAAAAATATTTAATTTACTACTATTATTTTCATTTTTTTATTCATTAATTCACTTTCTTTTTCGGCTTAGTCCTTTTATTAGTTTGGGGTCGTCACAGTGGAATGAACCATGTTTTACGCAGCAGATGCCCTTTCAGCTGCAACCCATCACTGGGAAACACTCACATTCACACTCATACACTACAGACAATTTTAGCTTACCTAATTCAACTGTACCGCATGTCTTTGGACTTGTGGGGGAAACTGGAGCACCCAGAGGAAACCCACGCCAACACGGGGAGAACATGCAAACTCCACACAGAAACTCCAACTGACCCAGCCGGGACTCGAACCAGTGACCTTCTTGCTGTGAGGCAACAGCATTATCTACAGCGCCACCACATCGCCTCATTTTTTTTGTATTATTACTTATTTTATTATTAATCATCATATACTAATATTAACTTGTTTTTTTAAATCCTTTTACTTGTTACAGAAGTTAAAAGAGCATTCAATAATACTATTCTCATATTGTTAATATTAACACATAATAATATTCCCTCAAAAAAACACAGTAAAATTAAACAATAATAAAATAAATGTAAAAATAAAAAGAAAATTGTAAAATAATTGTATTAATAATTATTAAAATAAAATTAGTAAACTAATAATTATAAAATAAAAAATATTATATATATATATATATATATTATAATATTTTTTTTCCTTTTTTATTATTTCATGAATATTTACTTTATTACTAATATTGCTGGTGGTGGATAAGGAGATTCCCCCCAATATGTAAAGCGCTTTGAGGGCCCAGAAAAAATGTGAGGAGTTATTATTATTAATTTAAAATTTGTTATTTAATAATTTATTTATTTGAATGACTATAGTGTCCTTCATCATCTAATAATTAATTCATACAAATAAATAATCATAATTAAAATAATCATTAATATTATTATAGTATATGTTAATATGGTGGCTCAGTGGTGTCGCACTGTGGCCTGACAGCAACAAGGTTTGAGTCCCGGCTGGGTCAGTTGGTGTTTCTGTGTGGAGTTTGCATGTTCTCCCCGTGTTGGCGTGGGTTTCCTCCGGGTGCTCAGGTTTCCCCCACAGTCCAAACACATGCGCTATAGGGGAACTGATCAACTACACTGGCCGTAGTGTAAGAGAGTGTGTGTGTGCATATATTTAATATATATTTAATAATTAATTAAAAACAATATTAATAATGTACAAGCATGACAATTAAAAACACAAATCATCTAAATTTTTTTTATAATTTACAATTTATAATTTCTTTCAATTCATAAGCAACATTAAACCAATGTCTGTGTGCTTGTTGAGTGTGTTTAGTGAGTGTGTTAATGTCAGACATGTGAATCACCTTCTGAATAGCGTATCCTTCATAGAGGTGAAACCTGCCCTGCATGCAAACACACGGCTTTCCTTTTAGTGTGCCGAACACCAGCTTTCCAGCGTGGCCGTGCACTAAAACACAAGCGGTTAGATGAGTGTGAGTTCAGGCTTGTTTACACCAAACATGATAACTATAAATAAAGATGAAGATAATGTAAAAAATGGTGGACAGCATTAAAGAACAGCAGAGATCACAACACAACTGCAGGGATGAAGATAGAGGAATGATATCCGCACTTTCTGGAGGATTTTACACCAAAAACTCTGACAGCCAATCAGAATCCAGTCGAAATTAAACAGCGCGCTATGAAGCGATCACAAACTGAGGGGACGGGGAGAGTCGGTGGACAAGCTTGACAAGCCTAGCCAAGCTGGCAGTCCAGCCAAAACCAGCTATATCCAGCTTAAACCAGGCTGGTCAAGCTGGTTTTAGCTGGATTTTGCTGGTCATTTTCCAGCCTGACCAGCTAAGACCAGGCTGGAAATGGCTGGAAACCAGCCTAAAAATGGCCAAAACCCCTCTAAAACCAGACTGGTCAACCAGCTAAAACCAGCCTAGGCTGGTTTAAGCTGGATTTTTTTTTTATAATTATTTTTTCAGGTGCTGTTTCTCAATATGCGTTCATCAGCGGTCTTGCGTCCTCGTGTTCTCGTGCAACGTCATCATCAGCTGCCTAAGTTCAGTTCCAATACTCAAGACCGCAAGTACGGAGGACGCGTGAAACTTCCCGGATGTGTTCTTGATATCGAGGACACACCGATGCAGACTTCAGCAGCGAGCTCGCTCTGGAAGTCCCAGAAGTCATTGCGACTGGAGGTGGAAAGCGCAGCATTTTATTTAGATTTATTATTAAAGTTCAGAGATATCACTTATTTACCTCAGGAGTTTCCCTAAATGAAACGGTGAAAGTAAACATTAACATGAACATCTTAATAAAGGAATAAACACATTAAGGTTGTTTGTTTGATGAAATTCGTATTAAAATTTGTTGTATTTATATTGTGCAGAGTATATTTATAATGTTTTTATGCAAAGTATATATTTTGAAGAGGGGGGAAACAATAAATCGTTGTATGAAGGCTGTAATGTTTAAATAATTTCCATTTAAAACGCGTGAAGGTCACATGACCATCAGGAAGAACGCAGCATCCCATTTCTCAAAGGACGCGTTTTCTGCCCTCGCGGTCTCCTGAGTTCGTTCTTCCGAGGACACCTGGCAAGACCGCTCTCCACAAGAACGCAAGTCCATTCTCTGCGTTCTTGGAATTGAGAAACAGCCAGGGTTTTCACCTTTATTTTTGATAGGACAGTAGAGAGAATTGACAGGAAATCATGAGGAGCAGAGAGAGGGGAAGGATCGGCATAGGACCGCGAGGCGGAATCGAACCCAGGTTGCCGCGAGCACCGGAGTGCATGTGTCAACGCACTAACCACTACACCACTGGCGCCGACTTAAGCTGGATTTTTAAGCAGGGAATAAATGGAATAAATCTTCAGTGTAAAAATAAAGGTAGCGCACGAATCCAGGGCTAGTTTGAGTGTGTTTGTGTGTGAAATGCTGGAGAACTGACTATGATTGCTAAACAGATTGTTTGATTAGATTGATTAGAGTCCGCAGATCAATAGTGTGTTCAGATGCGCTGCAGCACACTGAGACACCTGCTGGTCATAAGGAATAAAGTGCACAAATAAAAGCAGAATCTAAACATAAACAGATCATCATCGTGTGTCGGTGTGACACAAATATAATTATCCGTAACTTTTATATTTACGGTTATCGTGCTTGGTGTGAACAGGCCTTTATATTAGACTGATCATATTGGACTGATCAGTGTGCGGATAAACTCACCGGTGCTCTGGGGGAAGTTTGGGATGTCGCAGTAGTTTATGACCAGCTCATCTTTCAGCATTTTGGCCAATCCACCCAGACCAGAGCCGCACACGATGCCCACCAGAGGGCGCTCCGGAGCTCGCTCTAACAGCCAATCAGCTGTGGCCTTACACTCCTCATAGCTGTACCTGCAGCGCAGCAGAGGAAAAACATACTCACTGTTCTGGAGGGAGGAAATGTGAACCTGTTCACTGAGGTTTGATCAGATATGCTTTTAGATTTATACATAACATATATTTTAATTGTTTCCATTTTGATTCTGGTTAATCAATCCCTAAATTCCGAGGTTATTCACTAATAACAACTGAATAAACTAATAACATCCACTACACATACTTCCAATCATCTTGTATATACCGTATATATATATATATATATATATATATATATATATATATATATATATATATATATATGAAGAGTTCAGATGCAAAAGCCGCTGAATGCCACTTCCGCCGAAAATGAGCTAATGACATTGAGTGACTGCTTTAGGCATGTACTACACCATCAACAAATAGTTTTGCTTCAAATCATCTAAATCGCAGCGTCAGCGCATTCAGAAATAACAGTTTGTTGGCAAAAGCCGCTAAACGCCGCCTGCCTTTGACAGCAAAAGCCGCTACATCCTGAGAAGCACTCAGAAGCGTGAGTTGAATCGTGTGTGTTTAATGTAGCAGCGCGCTGATACGCCGGCTTTATGAGGAGACTGTTTTATCCCGCTTCTGATTCGAGTTTAAAAGACAGAGTTAGATGAACTGGATGAGGCTGTCTGACTGTCAACTTAATGGCAAATGAAAACGTCCCCTACCTCAAAACTCTCATTATAAGTAGGCCCACACGGAATCTGCGTGCCCAGAATTCCGCAGATTTTTAGCGCATTATTAATTCTGTTTATTTACTTGAGTAAATATGTAAATCTGATTTTGTTCAGTAATTTATTACTTTTTATTAAATATATATTATGGTTTTAGTTCTGATACTCCGCTGGATACTCCTAAAATAATTCAGCAGAAATCCGCAGATTTTTACCAAAATTCTCCGCAGAAATAGCAAAAAACGTCCGCAGATTCCGTCTGGCCCTGCTTATAAGGAAAGGAAAACACACTGTACAGTCGGGAGTGTGGCATCCATTCATAACGTATTTTTGCGCAGCGACGCTACTTTGCAGGGGCGGACTGGCTATCTGGCAATTCTGGCAAAAGCCAGAAGGGCCGGACCAATTTTTAAATGTGGGCCGGTCAGTTTTTAAAATTTTTTAATATGTATTGTTTTTAAGTGCAGACAGCTTTTATCTCTTGCTAGATGTGATATTATGATGATGATAATTTAAAAAATAATAATAATAAATGTTAAGCATTTGGCCCAATCGGCAACTGCCGCCTGGTTTCAAGATGGGCCGACCCAATCCAAGGTTACTCGGACGTAATCAAAATCTGGCAAGAATGTCATATTATTTCACCCTCTTTACACCAAAATAAATAGTGAATGTGCGTGTCTGTGGGTGGGGCTGTGTCGGTGTGGTAATGTGGGCTGGTGTGGCTGAATTTCTGTCCCAGTCCGCCCCTGCTACTTTGAATGAGTCCGACATTATCGGCAACATCGTTTCACGAAAGACAGAGTTAAGATGCTGTTGTTTTATCCCGCATGGATGCTATGAGGATAAACAACAGACCAAGACCTTGAGTATGGAGAGGACGAATGAATAACAGCTTCTAAAGTGTCTAAGAGGCATCCCCTCTTTGCCCAGGAGATCTATCTTGTGTTTAATTTGCTAATTTAAGCTATTTTTAAAAAGATAAATATAATGTCTAAAACTGTACATTATTTATTTGAATTCATAATACCTGTAGATCTGAAGAGCTTTTTATATTAATGGACAATGCACAGATATTGATGTTTCACAATGTTTTACACTGCATTATTTGAATCCATTATTTGAAGCTTAGCTTACAATGTTTACATTAAACCTGAATCCCAAATATCAGAAATGACCACAGATTGTTCAGATGTAATTAATGCCAGCTTTAATGTTATTGATTAATGCACTTACTGACAGATTTCATTCAATCATTTTCCTTCTGCTTTGTCCCTGGTTTACCACAGTGGAATGAACCGCCTCTTACTCGACAGAATAAATTAATTTTTATTTTCTGGTATTTTGTGTTTATTAGAAAAAAATATTTTCTAATAAAATAATTTCTAATTTGCATTTTTAGTGCTAATTACTCTGTGTTGTTCCAATATGTGGATTTAGAGGATTTTGCAATAAAAGCAGTAGTGGATTTATCTGGTTTTGACACAAAAGAAAATAAAAAGAAACGAAATTTGCCTCTGGAATTGTCAATCTGCTGTGAACAAGGCAGATCTTATTACCTCAATAGCTACGCATTCTAACTATAACACTGCTACACATGCAGCTCTTTTACCCACACTCCTCGTCACACAGGGAGAGGGGGTGGGACTGGACTACTGATTTCCAAAGAATAGAAATTTACTCAGAGACCGTCCCTGACAAAGATCAACTCCTTTGAATTCCATGCAGTCACCATTATCCACCCCTTCTACATAAATGTGGTTGTCATCTACCGCCCACCGGGTAAATTAGGTCACTTCTTAGATGAACTGGATGTTCTTCTCTCATCCTTTTCTCACTCCCATGTCGGTGCTAGGTGACTTCAACATTTACATTGAAAGACCACAAGCTAATGACTTCCAGACTCTGCTTGCCTCATTTGACCTCAAAAGAGCACCTACTTCTGCTACTCACAAATCAGGTAATAAGCTGGACCTAATTTACACTCGACACTGCTTCGCTGATCAAACACTAGTAACTCCTTTTGTCCCTCAACATCCACATTACTCCTGAGCCGCCACACACTCCAACACTAGTTACCTTTAGTAGAAACCTACGCTCTCTCTCACCCAATAGACTATCCACCATTGTTTCAGACTCTCTTCCTCCACCTAGCAAAATCTCTACACTGGATACTAACAGTGCCACTGATACACTCTGCTCCACGCTAGCATCATGTCTAGACAGATTATGTCCTCTTGCAACCAGGCCAGCCCGTGCCAGTCCTCCTGCACCCTGGCTCTCTGATGTTCTCCGTGAGCATCGCTCAAAACTTCAGCTGCAGAGAGAATTTGGCGGAAAACTAAAAATCCTGCACAGCTCTTAACATACCAAACTCTTCTGTCTTCTTTCTCAGCAGACAAATTTCCGTCTGAAAATCAACAATGCCACCAATCCTTGCTTACTTTTTAAAACATTTTCCTCCCTCCTCTATCCTCCTCCTCCACCCGCATCCTCCACACTTACTACTGATGACTTTGCTACATTCTTTTACACCAAAACAGCAAAAATCAGTGCTCAATTTGCTGCACCTACAACAAACACGCAAGATACAACACCAACACCACACACACTCACCTCTTTTTCTCAGCTCTCTGAGTCTGAGGTGTCCAAACTCGTGCTATCTAGCCATGCAACCACCTGTCCACTCGATCCCATTCCCTCTCATCTCTTGCAAGCCATCTCTCCTGCAGTCATACCAACACTGACTCACATAATTAACACATCTCTTGACTCTGGTTTATTCCCCACTTCATTTAAGCAGGCTAGGGTAACCCCACTGCTAAAGAAACCCAACCTGGACCATACGCTACTTGAACACTACAGACCGGTATCCCTGCTTCCATTCATGGCCAAGATTCTGGAGAAAGTAGTGTTCAATCAAGTCCTGGACTTTCTTACTCACAACAATCTCATGGACAACAAGCAATCCGGCTTTAAGAAAGGCCACTCAACTGAGACTGCCCTGCTCTCGGTCGTGGAGGATCTCAGACTGGCTAAAGCAGACTCTAAATCATCAGTCCTCATTTTGCTGGATTTGTCAGCTGCTTTTGACACTGTCAACCACCAGATCCTGCTATCTGCGCTCGAGTCACTGGGCATTGCGGGCACTGTTATACAATGGTTCAGATCTTACCTCACTGACAGATCATTCAGGGTGTCTTGGAGGGGAGAGGTGTCCAACCTACAGCATCTAAACACGGGGGTACCTCAAGGCTCTGTTCTTGGGCCAATTCTCTTCTCCATCTACACATCATCTCTAGGACCAGTCATCCAGAGACATGGATTCTCCTACCACTGCTATGCTGATGATACCCAGCTATACCTCTCTTTTCATCCTGATGATCCCTCGGTTCCGACTCGCATCTCAGCCTGCCTGTCGGACATTTCTCACTGGATGAAAGATCATCATCTTCAGCTGAACCTCGCGAAAACGGAAATGCTTGTAGTTTCTGCCAACTCGACTCTACACCATAACATTTCAATCCAGATGAATGGTGCAACCATTACTGCATCTAAAATGGTGAAAAGCCTTGGAGTAACGATTGATGACCAACTAAACTTCTCTGACCACATTTCTAGAACTGCTCGATCGTGCAGATTTGCACTCTATAACATCAGAAAGGTCCGACCCTTCCTATCTGAACATGCAGCTCAACTCCTTGTTCAAGCTCTTGTTCTCTCCAGACTGGATTACTGTAACTCTCTACTAGCTGGGCTTCCAGCTAACTCTATCAAGCCTCTTCAGCTGCTCCAGAACGCAGCAGCACGAGTGGTCTTTAATGAACCTAAAAGAGCACATGTCACTCCGCTGCTCATCCGTTTGCACTGGCTGCCAGTTGCTGCTCGCATCAAATTCAAAGCTCTGATGTTTGCTTACAAAGCGACTTCTGGCTTTGCTCCTTCTTATCTGCTCTCGCTTCTGCAGATGTATGTGTCCTCCAGAAACTTGCGTTCTGTGAATGAACGTCGCCTCGTGGTTCCATCCCAAAGAGGGGAGAAATCACTTTCCCGAACTCTCGCATTCAATCTGCCCAGTTGGTGGAATGAACTCCCTAACTGCATCAGAACGGCAGAGTCACTCGCTGTCTTCAAAAAGAGAATGAAAACTCAACTATTTAGTCTCCACTTTCCTTACTAATCTGCAATTCCCTCTCTGACTCCTCCACTAACTACAAAAAAGTAATAATTTAAAATAAAATAAATAAATTTTACTAATGTTCTGCTTCTTACACTTTACACACCTGAAACTTGCCTACAGCACTTCTTCATTGTTGCTCTTATAGTTGTGTAAATTACTTCCTTGTCCTCATTTGTAAGTCGCTTTGGATAAAAGCGTCTGCTGAATGACTAAATGTAAATGAAAATCTAAAGTGACATTTATGAAAAAAGCCCTTTTATTTACCAGCTAATAAACTCATCATTACATATAAAATGTAATTTCTGAACCTAATTAGAGGAGTCTGATAGAAAAATGCTCATTTACAAGAAAACAGGTCTGACAGATTTGGAGGCTTTTGCATCTGAACTCTTCATATATATAAATATTAGTGCTGTCAAACGATTAATCACAACCAAAATAAAAGTTTGCATTTACATAATATATACATATATATATATATATATATATATATATATATATATATATATATATATATATATATATATATATATGCAAAGATTTTATTCAAAATATTCATGCATATAAATATGTAGAGTATATGCACAAATACATTCCATTCATATAAACTTTTATTTTGATGCAATTAATTGCGATTAATAGTTTGACAGCACTATTGTAAAAATTTAATATGTAATATAATTTATAATATATATTTCATGACAGGAAATTTGCTATATAAATGTAAAAATACTGCTTAATTTTTTTCCTAGGTTAAAACCATAATTTTTCAAAATAAAAATGTTTCATACGAGTTTACAGATACAGATTCATAACACATTAACCAACATTAACTAATAAAAGCTTATTGTAAATTGCGAGTAATTAAATGAGTATTTATCAGTGAGTAACAGCAGAGTTGATGGATTAACACACAAATGACTCTGAAGAGCAGGCTTATTATAATAAATGACTCGAGAACTGTTGGGTTGAATCAGACTCGACTCATCGCTGACTGTGGAAACTCCCTGATTCTCAAAATTATCAGACCACCTGAAAATGCAGGTTCTGATTTATACATATGAGACTGAGTAAAACTTGATGCATTTTTTTCTGTAAAGCACTTATGACACCTCTTACAAATTTAAAACTACTGTTAGAGAACATTCATATTACGCTATTATAACATTATCACAGTAGAATTATAATGTTATATCACATTAGAGTAACATTATTATATCTTCAGAATAATCATAAGCTAACATTAAAATAACGTTGTTATTATTATGTTAGACTAACTAAAAACTAGCATTAGAGGAACATTATTACATATTCAGAATAATCTAAAGCTAACATTGGAATAATGCTATTACAGGATTATCACATTAGAATTATAACATTACTATCATGTTAGAATCACTAAGAACTAACATTAGAGTAACGCTATTATATATTCAGAATAATCATAAACTAACATTGTATAATGCTGTTATAACATTATTATGTTATATTGTGATAATATATGTTGGTGAATTTAAACAAAACAGTTTGATTAATCAGTTCTATCCATTGAAATAATAGTGTTATTAGACTGCGAGTTTGCTCACAGAGCATCTTCATAAATAGAAAGAAAACACATTTAAACTCAAACAAGTGACAAAAAAAGAATACAAACTACAAAATTTCAGCTAAATTTAATATTTTTATGCTTCTTTTGATTTTTTTATTAACATTTTATTTAATGTTTTTCCTCTGTAGTACTAATTTTGGACCATAATGTTTAGTTTTTTTTTGTCAGATTAGTTTACCAGTTTTTGTCTTCGGTGCTGTCTAATCTCTAACGATCTGCACTAATACATTACTGAAAGGCTTCCTGAAGAAAATATTACTGTAAAAGAGAGATCTGTGAGTGGTCAACTCATTTATCCTGCAAAAAATGGCTGTTTAGATTTGTTTAAACCATAGGATTGACAAATACGTATATATATGTTGAAATATAGCTGATATAATTGTATGCATGTTCATAAATGGCCATATATCAGATTTCTGTATGAATATTATGTGTAATAAAATATGAAAACTGATATATATATATATATATATATATATATATATATATATATATATATATATATATATATATATATATATATATATATATATATATTTCTTCCTTTATTAAATCGTTAAATAACGATCGTTTTGATCGTACATTGTTATACATATTGTTGTAGCATATAATAAACAAAATAGTCGGAATGATTTCTCTGATCTGGGATCTGGCGCTGTACGTG